CACTCCCGTCCATGCCCAGACTAGCAGCAGCCTACACACCTAAGCGCCGGCCAGGTCCATTCCCAGGGATAAAACGCCAGTTAGGAGAAACCTACCTTGAAAGTCGGTTAGGAGAAACCCACCTTGAACACGAGTGTCGCCGTGAGACACCTCGGCCAGCCGATCTGAGTCCATATCTCAACAAGCTGACCAGAGTCAGGTTAAGCTCTCCAGCCTCTCAAGTTCACTCGGGACCCTGACCAAGTCCCAGTGAGCCTCACCTGATATCACCGCCAAAGAGTGGACCGAGACAAGCAGCGACTCCCAACAGAAAAAGTGCCCTCAAATCCAAAGAAGCAGAGGGTGGTCCGATCGATCCCTTCCACCGACGAAACCAGCGTCATGAACAGAGCGTCTCAGAGAGAGAGGCCTCGAACGGGGAAGTCCAAACCACTCATCCATGCACTCCAACTTGCCCATGCACTCCAACTGTGAACTCCAAGCCAAAAAACATGCTGCTGATGATAAAAGAATGGAGATCGTCCATCTCAGAGCTTGAGGGCTGAGACCAGAGGTCTTGACAGCAAATCGGACTCTTTTCTTGTCACAGTAACCCACGGCTGACTGACATTGAAAGAATCACTATCATCCGGCAGGCCAACATTGAAGAATCCGCTCTCGGCAGATCCATCGTGAAGAATCAGATCCCGGCCGCCCAACAGGGAACAATCAGAGACCATCGTCGACCAATAGCTTCCATCCTCCACATGCAGTACAGCCAAGACAAACCTGTACCTACAAAAGTAGGGAAAAAAAGACAGGTATGCACGATGGGCATCCCAGGAGGGTGGTTTCGTGCAGGCTCTTGCAAAGCCCAGGAAAATCTCCCAAGACCCCTCTCCTTCCAGAAGAAAACACGCCCGATATCGAACAATCAAACCAATGGAGCTCTGACCAAGTCCAATGGATCTCGAGGACGAACTTCCACGAATCCATCACAATGGGGCAACTGGAATGCATCAGGAACCCTGTGGCAGTGAAACGCGATGGCTTCCTGTGCCAGTGACGGAACAATGGGTTTTGGACTAGGGAATCGGCCGAACAAGCAGTCCAACCACCAAACGATGATGAAGAAAGGCTGGAACAGATGGTCCACCCAAAAAACCAAGGGGATGTGGACGCCCCTCGAAAGGTGGAATGGACTTGCTGGGGTCTGTATGGAATGGCTATGGAAAGGTCTTGCTCGTTGTGGAGGAGAAGGGAGTTCTGGGACCACAGTGTTCCCCCAAACACAACGCGTTCGACTCGTCTCTCTCTGTGTGGGTGTGACCCGACCACTTCCATTTCTTCCCTCAGGGCAAGCTATGGAAACATACACGAGAGCGCACAAACAGACGGACTTGCCCAGGCAACCATCCAAGAAGTACTCCACAGAAGCCGATGTTTCGCACATCGGTCGTCACGTGCTCGAGGACTCATCAGGGGATGGATCCAGACGGCCTGGAGAAGGGCGGCTCTCCCCAAAAAAAGTCACCAAAGAAGCCAATCAACAGGATGTGTCTTGGTGAGGAAAGCACCGACGACCCTCACACAGTCAGGCAACAGCACCGTCGACTCCACACAGTCAGGCCACAGCACCACAGGTCAAAGACAGAGGGGGCCTCCAAGGTCGTCCGCGATGGGGACTCCGGCAACTCACTGAGGCAGAGTGTCAGTGCCCAGTCCACTTGGTCAGGCTGTGAGGTCGAGTGGGGGACCTGTCACTGTTTGCCCTACGACGTCCTTTCACACACGCGTCCCCATGGAAGGTCATCGCCGACGACAGAGACTCTAATCCTCTGTGGTGGTGCTCCACCACGAGGTCTGTCAGACGAAACCACTTCTCTAGGCACCATGGCGACCGCCATGGAAAGCAAAAGCCAACTCCAACCCTTCAACACCTCGAACCTGGACGACTTCTGCTCGGCGAATCACTTCAGAAGGGCAGCAAGGGTGTGGTCCCACAGGGAGAACTGCAAGGATTGCTTGGCGTCCATGGCTTTTCTCCAACAGCCTCGTCCAAATCTAAGCTATTCAACAGCATTCTTCCAAGGCCTTGGATGTCATCGTCGTCCGTGGTTTCAGGTGGCCCGGTTACCAGATCCAAGTGAACACTCCAGTGGATGTCTGGAGTAACCATGCTTGTCAGGTGGCTCTGTTCTTTCCCAGCATCAACACTGCTTGCTCAAGTAGGTCGGTGCGTTCTTGCCCGGCCTCAGAACTGCTTGCTCAGGTAGGTGGGTCTGACAACACTCGTTCGTCCCCGGCCTCAAGGAAATGCACCCCTCGGCAACCCACGTGAACAGGTCACGTCTTGTCCAAGGTCGGCCAGGAAGGTCTGTCTCGGTGGTCTTGCTGTCACTGGATTTGGGGCAAGGAATGCACCCTAACTCCCTCGATAAGGTCCGAGTCCGAGCTGTTGGACCTTCATGGTCCCAGAGGGCCACGTCCAACGTTCCAGGAAAACCGCGGAGGGCTGAAAAAAAAGCAAAGACAAAGGCAAACGGTCCAAACAGAGGAGATGACTTGTCTCCCATCCAGAGAAGACTCGCCAAAGACCTCCAGATCACCAAGCTAGGAGACGATCAAGAAAGGAGACCCTAAACCCAAGTGGCGCAAAACGGAAGGGAGTGGTTGTCTAGCACGAAGAAAATAGTGGATGAGGACAGCCAAGAAAGTTCAATAGCGAAAACCTGCTCCTCCTAGGAGAAAGAACCGGCCAGAATACAAAAATACCAAAAAAACAGAGACAGCTTCTAAAACAGGTGCCAACCAGAAAACCTGCCCGTAAGGGAAAAGGGGGAAGGGGGCAACGTGGACTCCACCTGCTGCCAGGTATCACAGCCCTACTGGAAGACGACCCAAAAAATTCAGCAAAGCGAGACGGAGGGAAAAAATGAGGTGTCGGATCCTGTGGAGCACAAGGTCTCCATCACGCAAGACATCCCATTGAGTCGAGGAAGAACGGAGAGGGACTGACTTGTCCCGGTTTGTCTTCGACCAAACCGGGGGTGGGCTCAGGTTCACATCACGGCCCAAGTCGGTTTTCCCCCCGTGGGTGAACAAAAAAAATAGTTACCTGCCATGGCCTGGCGTCGCGGCGTGGTGACGATCGTGGTGGTGGTGGTGGTCGTGGTGGCCCCTAAGTGGAACGAACAAAGGAAGAATGAGCAAGGGGTGTCAGGGGCGAGGGAAACATTCAAACCCATGGGTTCCACTTACCCGTTCGTCGTGGTCGTCGGGAGGACCAGCGGAAGACGGTGGTGGTGGTGGCGGATCCATGCTCTGTAAGTAAACCCCATGGTAAGAATGAGCGTGAGGGGGACACAGGGGCAAGGGGACATTCAAACCATGGACTCCACTTACCCGACAAACGCCAACACAAGCGTCGAAAATGGGCCAGACCCAACACTTGTTGACAGTGAGGGCACGTGGGGGTCGGACGGGACGGAGTGATGGCCAAGGCGGCGTACAAACAGGTTTTATGGACCAGCACGTGGCAACAGGGGGTACGGATGACGGCTCGGACCAGTTCCCTCGCGCACAGAAGACAAGACTCCACAGTAAAAGGCCACACCATATCATGTAAGACTGCATGAAGATTGCGTTTGGAGTCGATGGGTGGCCAGAGGTCCTTTTATGGTGTGGGAAGAGGGGTCTCATGAATGGGACCCCCCTCTAACACCCCCCAAAAAGAGGGGGGGATACCCCCCCATCCCCCCTCGGTGGAGGGTGGGTCGAGAGAGCCCGGGACCGAGGTCCGAGGTGGGTATATAGAGAGCCGGGGAAAGCCCGTTGCATTTTCACTGCCAAAGGTCACTTGGTTGTTCATGTTTGGTTCCAGTTCCTAAGACACCGGCTAACTTTCTCATGGCGTCGTGCTTGAAGATTGTGGGCAACGAGGCGAGATGTTATTGTTCCGTGCACCAAGGCGCGGACGTGGCCCGAGGTACGTTAGAACGCGTGGTGCACCCTTACCCTCTACGTCACGCACACACCTGGCCGCGAGCCCCGTGTCATTGCATTTGGTTATTATGCAGAGTGTTTGTCCTGGTGCAGTCGCAACGGACCAACGTGCATTCGTTTTTGACCCAGCGAGAACGTGGAGGGCCTCACCCCGTGTTAGACTCGGCCGAGTGTTACCACCACAGCGGGTGGGTGTGCGATTGCCATTATTATGGGGTGGGCAAATCGGCACCGCCCGACTCGGACTGAACTTTTTTTTGGTTTTTTACAGATGGCGTTCGCATCGAAAGCGAATCCCAGGAACAATGCGAGTGGATGTATCGGATGTTTTCCCACCATTCCTTGCCCTCCCCTGCCTCGTGGTGTTTTACCCTGTTGAGCAAGGAACTCCCGGCGCTGCTCCGTTGTATGACCACGGGCAATTCCGATCGAGTGAGCAAGCGACTGATGGGCATCTTCACGTACCTCACGAAATGGGACCCCCAGACCCAGACCCTGCCGCCCCCGGAACCCATCGAATTACGGGCGATGATTTGCTGTGGTCTCACCAAGGAGATGCTGCCTTTACCGACGGCCGTGAAGATCCACCCTGCCTTCGATTTCTTGAAGATCTTATTAGCTGAAGCCGAGATCGTGCCCGACGACGCCCTTTGTGAACGACCCGTGTTTAAAGTGTACGGACGGTGTGACGAATGCCAAGCCCTGTTGCGTGAATGCCCCACCAAGAAAGATGTGGGTTTGGGCCCCACCGAGGTCATGTACGTGATGATGCCCGCCGAATGGGCGGAACCCGTGGACTGGACCGACTGTCGTGAGGGATGCTCTGAAGGAGCCAAGGACGGGAACGAGGGACAAGTGTGATGTGTTGTAAAAACAATGTTCAAGTAGGACGCCATGTACCCCCAAAAAAATACTGAGATGTAAACCGTACACTGACAAAAACACCTTTATTTTTTTTGGTCACTAGCACTCTACTTTAGATCAACCACATGTAAGTCTTTGCCTCAATAAACACGTTACAGTTTCAATTTGCGTTTGGCTTGCATGATTTTTTTGACGAAGGCTTCGGTCCAAGTCTTTTTCCCCGGGAGGTTCGTGATGGCCCGAATCATCTTGTCGTCGGCGTTCCACTTGTCCTGATGCGAGCGCGCGCGAGAATAATCAATGTCGTGTTGTTTGGCAATGCGGTCCAACCGGTTGATGCCGGGATCCCCGCGCTTCAGACGTGTCTCCAAATGGGTGCCTGGGCCCATGTATTGGTACCCGGGCCAATGAAATTCGATCCCCGTCTTGGCCAACCATTTTTGCACGTCCAACCCCCGACCGACCATGCGACGCCGGCGCGACGCGCGGGGGCGGCGGCGGCGGCGGCGGCGTCTAGTAGTCCTTGCCATGCAGTTTCCGCTGCACCTTTTCTCCCCACTCACTCCAGCCGGGTTGTCGTTTCAACTTGAATACTTCCTTGGCCAGTTTCTTGCCCTCTTTGGCGGCCTGCTGACTAAAGCGAAAGCGCGGTCTCTTGGTGGTGAGCGGCGTCTGCCCTTTGGAGGGTCCTGCCTGAGGTGACTTGCCTTTGCTCAACGTCGGCGTGGTCTTGCTCTTGGACGTACTGGGAATGGGCACGGCCAATTCCGCTTCCCAATCGTCGTCCGGTAACGGCACCGAAATGGGGGTCTTGGGTGTTTTGGTCAAGAACGTCGGCTTGGGTGGGACTTTCGGCTTGCCTTTGGGGGTGGCCTTGGGCGTGCTGCTTTTTATAAGCGTTTTCAAGAAGGTCTCCATGGGTCCTTGAGCAAACTCGTCGCCGTCGTCGTCGGCCCCCGCCGCGGCCCCTCCGGCCCCTGGCAACGACATGGTTCGCACGCGTTTGGTGGCTCGACGGACCGCGGGTCCCAGGGCTTTGACGCGGATCTTTTTGGTGGCCGGCGGGATGTTGGGGGAGGCCAGCAAGACGTGTTGTTTGGCCGCCAACCGCGCGGCATGCGTCAACCGCGAATTCTCCATCAACGCGCCTTTGTAATGGTCCACCAACCGCTCCATGTCCGCCGGGGACACCACGTACTTTTTCTGGTACGGTCCATGACTCATCTTGACAGGCAACGACACACGCGATCCAAGGCGTGCCACATACCCGCCCCGGTTTGAGCCATCATGACCTGCCGTCGCCGTTTTATGGAATGTTTGCGACGCGCCATGTCGCGCAAGGCTTGCTTGTGCGGACGCAACTGATCCAAGAGTCGAGGCGGGACGGCCACATTCCCTTTCAAGGTGTTCATCACCAATTCACTGATGGCATTGACTTGATCGGCATTGGCGTGCTGCAATCGTTCCCGTCGCACCTGTTGGTCGGCTTCGCGCAACACGCTCCGCAAAAACGGCAGTTGTCGTTGTAAGCGTCGCACCATGGTGTCGTGTTCCCTGGGTCACGTTCGAGGGAGTCTTTATAGCTCACTTGGCCCCGGTCTTCAACCCCCATCGGTTGATCATGTTGCGAACCAGGCGTTCGTTGGCCGCCTGCTGCGCGGGGGTCAGTTGACGTCTCTTCCGCGTCGCGGCCTCCAAGCCTTTCTTGACCCCGTACCCCGCAGCGCCACTCACCGCCCCGGCCGCAATGGCCTTGCCACCGGCCACGAGGAGAGGAATGAGAAAGGGTAAAATGCCCCCTCGTTGTCATCGTCGTTGTCGTCGTCGTCTCCGACCGCGTCGGGCCATGTTGCCAATGGAACGGGCTCGGGCACGGACTCTGTTTTTATAGGGTCTCTCATCGTCGACGGTCGAGGGCTTTCTTCACGCCATACCCCACGCCGCCACTAATGGCCCCCGCCGCGGCGGCCTTGGCCGCTAAGAGACCTAGAGGAATGAGAAAGGGTAAAATCCCTCCTCGTTGGTAGTGGCGTCGGCGGCGTCGGTAGCTGGTGCGTCGTCGTCGGCGTCGAACCATGATGCTGTGTGATAGCGCCCCAATCCTGGTCTCTTTTATAGCGTCACATGAGGGGGCAGTTGAACGATTCGCCCGCGTACTTTTTGCGCTTGCCACTCGCCACCTCGGCTCGTCGTTTTTGACCGATCTTCTCGGCGTTTTTTTGTTGACGCTCCCCAATGGCTTGGGTGGTCTTATGGGCCGTCTTGAAAATCCCCGTGATGAGTCCCGGCGACACGCCGCCTCGTTGCGATCGTCGTCGTCGACGGGGGCGTCGTTTCCGTCGTGGCATCTGGACGTTTGGTCGTCCCAGGACCGTGCTTTTTTTTTATACCGTGTTGGGCGTGGACAACCGCGAGGACGTGCGATAGACTTCGGGTTCTCCTCCATCCTTGTAGACCGTCGTGACGGTATTGGTATGCGTGATGCCAGCAATGCGGCGCCCCACGGACCGTTGACGGGCATCTTCGGCCAACAGGTCCATCTGTCGTCGCAATTCGTCTTGATTCATGCGCGCTCGTCGTCGAGGGGGAGTGCCACGGCCACGCCCCCGGCCACGGCCACGACGGCCCCCGCCACCGCCGCCGCCGCCGCCACCTCCGGGCGGGCCTCCATCGTCGTCGCCCCCGCCCCCTCCGGGAGGCACCCCGCCGCGTCCCCGGCCTCGACCTCGCCCTCGCCCTCGCCCTCGGCCTCGGCCTCGGCCTCGGGGGGGTGAAGGGGACCGGGGTGTGGCGGGACGGTTCACGACATAGTCGCGCAATTGGTCCTTGGTGAGACCCGCGGCCCTCAACATGTCTTCGATTTGCCCGGGACGAAAATTCCCTCGGGCAATCCGTTCCATGACATCGCGTTGTTGGGTGGTGAGCGCAGGCGTCGGGGAGCGTGCGGGCGACGGGGGGCGTGCGGCGATGTAATCGGCCAATTGGTTGTTGTCGAGCCCCACCGAGTCCAACAGGGCATCGATTTGATCTTCGGGTACCTCGTTTCGAAGAATCCGTTCCATGACACCAATTTGTCGGGGACTAAACGTGGGCGACGGCAAGTCCCGGGCCGCGGTCCGGATGGCCGCCACGCTGGGCAGATCTGCCCTGGGGGACACCAGATTGGGCGCGACGCCTACCCCGGCCGGCGGGGCCGTGGGAATCCCCGAGAGGTCCATGGCCCGTGCCAAGGCATCCCGTACCCCCGTCGGCGTGACGAGGGGGGACCGTCCGACGCCTACCACCAAAGGCGTGGTGTGCCCTTCCAGACGTTCCGATAAGCCCCGTTGCCGTCCTCCTTGGCGTCTCCGCGCTTGTCGCGCCTGTTCTCGCGCCAGTTCATTCTCCCAAGTCAAGACGTCGAAATCCAGATCGTCCCGAAACTCGTCGGACGAGGGGGTGGTCCGTCGGCTCATGCTTGGCGTTCATAGGTCTCCGTCGGTCCTTCCTCCGGTAACACGTTGGTGAAGAGACGGTACCGATCGTCTGACGCGGGATGCAGGTCCAGCATTAAATACCCAAACGGACGTTGCGTGCATTCGCGAAAAATGTTCATCACGTGCGACCAGTCGTTGGGAAAGGCTTGTAGGGTCAACGTGCGCATGCCCACTTGATCCCGCGGGTTCTTGAACGCCACGATGTAATGCGCATTGCGCGAAATGGTCTTGGCGAATTTCCCGGGCGGGAAGAGATCCTGGCATAAGAACAAGACGCTAATGTTTCGATGATGCGAGTGCTTGGAAAAGAGATCCAACACGCGTTTGTCGTTGGCGCCTTCGTCCATGAGATCGTCCAAGACCAAGAGTCCCCCTTGCGTGGGACCGAACCATTGGTCCAACTCCTCCGAGGTGGGCAATCCTTCGTGAAACTGCACCTTCTCTTGTTTCATCTCGTCAAAGGCCGGTTGCCAGGCCCCGTAACAATAATGTTTGACCCGAGGCGCTGGGTGCATCAGTTCGTCGGCATGGCGTAACAACCCGCGCGTCCACGTCGACTTCCCGCACCCCGACGGGCCGCCCACCAGTGTGTTGCAGGGATGACGAATCATGGTGTCACCATGGCGTACAATCGCGGCGAAGCCTCTTTTATCAGGGTCCGCATGGACTCGACCACGGCGGTTTCCGGGCACGCGTCCAAGGCCCGAGCCAACCCCACCCAATCGCTGGTCCAGACCAATCGACGAAAAGTGCGATAGTGGCCATAATCCCAGGTGTGGCACAACGCGTCCACCGGGTTCAGCAACAGTTCCATCCACAGACGTTCGTCCAAGGCTTCCAGGACACGCTGCTTATCTTGGCGCGTGATCATTCTCAAAAAAATCACGTCGCCGCGAGCGCACCGGTGTTTTATGGAGCGCCCGCGACGACGTGGCATGGACCCTATCGGACTCGAACCGATCCCCTACGGCTTGCAAAGCCGCTGCTCTACCCCCTGAGCTAAGGGCCCCTTGATTGAGTACGGGGCACCCCCGCGGCCAGACTCGGTCAACTCAGTCCCAGGGTAGCACTATTTTGTAGAGAACACCGGACGTGCCCACCACCGGTCGGGAGAGAACCCTTGGGGAATCGGACCGACCGCTCGCGCGGAGGTCCCCCGCACCCATGCCCTGTCTCCCCCTCGTCCCCTTGTTATATCCGTCCCTAGTCGTCGTCTTTCCCTTGTGGGACCCACGAAAAAAACACACACCTCGATCACGTGTTAAGACTCGTTTAATGAAGACAATACACAACGTCGAGAGAGACAGCGTTGGGTGTCCGGTCCATCGGGTTCGTCCATGGCCGCTTCGTCCAGGGTGGTCTGGATCCAAGCCCGGACGCGTTCCCCCACGCGATGATCGTTCCACACGTAATCGGCGTCTCGAAAACTTTCCACATACTCCAGCAGGGTCCGTCCACGCACGCGGTCTTGCAGGTAGGTAAAGGCATAATGGCCACAGGCCATACTGTCGTAGGCCTGCAGCGTCCTGTCGCTACGCACCACGACCTTCCAATGCTTCGTGATCCACTCGTGCAAGCCCGGGGCGTCGTAAAAGGTCAATGGCAAGCCGTAACTATCCATCACGTCGCACACCCCCTGGTCCGTCCAGAGCGCCAACCAATGCTGGCCCGGGTCGCCGGCCGGGTCCGTGTTGACGATGTAGGCGCCTCGGGTGGTCTTGGGCGGGTGCGCGGGCAATCGATCGGAGGGATAGACCCCTTGGAACACGCGCTTCAACTCGGGGTCGGAGAGCGCCAAGGCTCTCAATTGACGATCACTCAACGCCACCAGTTCCATGCTCCAACTACCCCCATGGGGTCCTTTACACTTTGTTATCATACGTCACGGCGCCCAGGTGATCGATGTAGATGACGCTTTCAAATTCGCCCCACACCAAGATGGTCATGTTGGTGTTCAGGGCCGCTCGGAACTTGATTTCCAGCCGCACGTTGCCGGTCTGCTTGGGATTGAGTTTGAGGCTATCGGCGTTCCCACTGGGCACGTTGTTCCACATGTACAGGGTACAATTCTTGTTGTGCCCCCAATCGCCCGGTTTGACCATAAACTCGCGATGTTTGGCCACGGCCCCGGCCGCGTCCAAGAAGCGACGATAGCCTTCCCAATCTTTCAGGGTATTATTGCCGGCCATTTCCAGGGTGACGTACGGGTACTCTTCTCCCTCGATAAACTGTCGAATGGACGTCACCCCTTTGCTCTGGAAAGAAAACGGGTACTTTTCCTTGGTCCCATTGAACGCCGTGCTGTCCAAGATCCCCACGATCATGCGTTGGGGGACCCTCCCCAGGAAGAGGTTATCTTCCATCCACACGGTAGTGGCCCCGTTGAACGAGAACGTGCGAATCTGGTCACTCACCACCGGGTACTTGACCACTGCCTCTTTGAGCTTGCGCTCCCGTTCCAGGGACCCGTAGACATCTGGGTTGAGATTCAATCGGCACAAATGCAAGGTGATGTCCACATCTTCTTCTCGCAACCGAACGTAGCTTTTGCGACCGGTGCCACTGGTCAGGGTCGCAAAGGTGTAGAAATCGGGACTGTGGAAGTGGAACTCAAAATTCATTTCCACCCCGGGCACCATGATCTTCCCCGTGTGGAACATGGGTAGGTACGGCCGCATGATCATCCGGACCACGTTGTTGCCATGGAAAGGGTCCGTCAGGGTCTTGAGCGGGTTAGGGTTATTGTGAGCCCAGCCCGCTGTGGTACTGATGTCGTCGTTGACGCCCGCGGCGGCCAGCGTCGGGGTCACGTTCAAGAAATTGACCCATCCTTGAGGGGCCAGCAACGTCTCCCCATCGTCCTGGCTGTAGTTGAGCAGGGTCTGGAGAAAGGCCGAGTAGGCGTAGGTGTCGGTCTGTTCGGTCATCAGGGTGCCATTGAACCGCACGTTGATCTGCTTGAAGATGGTGTGGACCAGGTTGTTGACGGCGTACGTGAACTTGGTGTTGTTGGCATCCGAGGCCGCATTCTCATCGTCCACGATACCGTTCTGACCCGCCGTGGACAAACGCAAGTCGACGACGAAATAACTGCGATTCAAATCCACGTAATCTTCCAAGGCCTGCACCGAGAACTTCATCGGGGTGATGCTAGCACTCAATTTGTGGTAGGGTACCATTTTGAAACCCTGCAGCGTGTAGTCGGTCGAGGGGACCGAGAAAAGGTCGAGACTGCTCATGATGACGAGGACAACGACGAGTGCGTCTCCGCCTCAGCGGCGTCGCCGTTTTATACGTCTCATAAAGGCCGACTGATAGTCCCTCTTCCTGGGGAACGCCTCGATGATGCGGGAATAGACCCCTCCGCGCTGAGCGCGACGTCGACGGGCCGACAACCATTTAGTCAAGTCGTACGCGGGCGGTTTGCGAAAGCCAGGACCGAGCCATCCGCCGCGCTGACCTCGACGTTGTCGGGCCAACAACCATTTAGTCAAGTCGTACGCGGGCGGTTTGCGCACGTGTGGACTGATCCATCCTCCTCGTTGTCGTCCAAACGGCGAGGGCACACTCCGTTGATAACGAGGACGGGATTGCACCACCAACTGTCGTGGACGCATCCTCTCTTACACACCCAGCACGTCGCGAATGCGTCCAACCGTGTTCCGAACCCCTTTCTTGGCCGTCGAGGCGGCCGATCTCTTGGCAACCGTAGCAGCAATGGGGAGAGCCTTGCGTTTCAACCCTCTTTTTATCTCTTGGCCAGCCGCCCGTGCCACCCCGCGCCACGACTGCCCTTGAGCGCCCGCCCGCGCCCCGGCTTGGATGGCCGTGGCCAGAATCGGGCCGCCCCAACGATAGAGATCCTCTCGAAGTCCTCGTCCATCCTGCCGTGGCAGGGGTGGTGGCTGGTACCGCGTCAGACTGCCTCCCCACATGATGTGATACGTTCCCCCGAGGCACGCGCCTTTTTTATACGTCTCGTTGGAACACGAAGGTGACCAGGGTGCGTCCCGTGCCGAACTGGACCAACCCTCCGTGACTCTCGGCGATTTCCACCTCCACCAGGTCCATGTACTCGCGCCGACACGGTAACCACTGAATGTGCAAGGGTTCAAAGTAGGCCACGCCCTGGCCTAGGCGCCGGTACTCCACTTCGCGCACCAGCGCATGTTGTTGACCGCCGACGATATTGCTGTCCACCAAATCCGAGTAGACCAGGAAGGTGCGCGAGGGTTCCCCCACCACGTTTCGGAAGGCCACGTTCAAGTTGCTGAAACGCCAATTGAGGGTCTGACTCAACTGCAGGAGGCCGCTTTCCACTTTCCACAGGTCGTGGTTGTTCAGTTCCGTGTTCTTGACGTCTTTGTAATAATTCCCCCTCTGTTGCGTCTTGTAAATGAGTTCGTAACGGAGATTGGGTCCCAAGGCGTACTTGTCCTTCCCCGTCTCCACCAGCCACCCCATCAACTTGGCCATGGTCACGTGCACGTGCCATTCCACGAACATCATGCCGGTCGTCAACGCGATGTCGTCCAACTCCTTGGCCAGCATGCGCAGGTCCTCGCCGTCCCATTCGTACGTGACCCGAAACCGGTCGTAGAGTCGTTTACTCTTGGCTTGCGCTTCTTTCATCTCGTAAAACTGCGATTTTCGTATAAGGACTTTCATCAGACTCACCCCATCCACCACGCCGGGATCGTGCATGATATCCTTGATCTGCATGGTGGTCTGGTGGTGGACCGGGGCCACGTCCGTCACATTGTCCACCAACTTGCAGCCCACCTTGAACACACGTGGGTTGACGGCATTCGTGAGTCTCGACAAGTCCAAGTTGGCGTCCGGGGTGGAGATGGCCGCCAGCCCCACCTTCCATCCTTCCCCCTTCATTTCCAACGGCACGGGTAGGCGCACTTTGAACGAACTGGTGGTGTTGGTGGCAAACTCTTTGGTCGGATCGCTGACCAACACGATACGATTCATGCCTGGAAATGCAACGTCACTTGCGTCTCTCCTGCCGGGTTCAAGGTCATCAACTGACCGTTCGTCTCGGCCACTTCCACTTCCAGAATCTCCAGCGTGTCTCCACGCACCCGGTGATACTGCACGTGTTCCGGTTCCCACCGGATGGGTTGGTCTTTATAGGGCAGGTCTCGTAAGAAGTTCGTGATCTGCGTGCCCACGATACTGCTCTCCCCCACGTTGCAATACAGGTGCACCGGACGCGTGGCCGGCTCCCCGTGCGTCGCGGGGGTCACCGTGGTCTTTTTCTGTTTGTCTTGACTCCCCGTATGCGTGGGCGTGGTGGTCGTTTCGGTGGTACTGCTGGTGGACGTGGTGGTGGAGCCTCGTCGAATGACCGGATGATCGTCGTACACGTCGTCGACTTGAGTGAAGGGTGGCTCGTGGGCGGGGATGGTGTACCCGTAGACCACCACGTAACATTGATCCGTCAACGTGGCCGGGTACGAGGTGGGTACGCCGTCCATGGTCGCTTTGAGGAACAACCGCGACGTCCGGTCCGACTGCGCCGTCAGCCGGAAATCTTGCACGAGGCGATGGTAATACACCATGTGCGTACCCCCGTATTCATGCACGTGCGTCGTCAACGCCGAGTCGATCATGCGCACGTAGACACTACTCCAGGCAGTCACGCGCGTCTTGTCGAACAACACCTTGTCGACCGTGTAGATCTCGACGATGATTCGATACGTGAGCCCCTGGCTCAACTTGGTGGTGCCGATGATCCAACCAAACTTGGGTTCGTACTTGTTGCCGCTTTTCGTCAACGTCATGCCGACGGTCTTCTTCTTCCAATAATGGGGAGAGCCTTCCAGATTGACAAACCCCAAGGACTTAATGCCTCCATCCTTGATCCACACGCTCTCGTCGTCCATGATCCATCGGAAATGATTCCACAGGGTCTTGGGAGGCACGTAGACGTGCGTGGTGGCCCGCGCATAGGCTTCGTCCAAATTCACAAACTGCCAATCCATCGCCATGGACAGATACATCATCCCCCCGTTCACGTGCACGTAGTTGGAAAACGTGAACAATTGATTCCTATCCGCGTCGGCCGCGAACTTCGGGGACTTGACCTTTTTCACGTGCGGGTACATCAACAAATTGGGTCCCGGGACATACGACCGGTCCTCTTTTCTCACCAACCATCCCATTTGTTGGGCCATCACCCGATTGAACCCCAAGTAAGGGCGCGGTTTGTTGTAGGTAATGTTGAGTTTCTCATTTAGGATCCACAACGTCGGGACCCCCGCCTCGTCCTTCCATTCGAAATGAAGATCATAATTCACGTCGGCCGACCCAAAGACATACCCGGCATAGAGTTTCGTCAGCTTGTCTTGTTCCATCCAACGGACCACTTTTTTCATAAACACCACCCCCGTGGTGGCTTCGGGCATGTCGGCATCCTCCATGGTCACGGTGATGTCTTGCGTCGCGGTCGAATCGCCGTCCTTCATGGCCCGGGCATACAGGCGCGCCAATCGCTGGTTTTCCGAGCCCTTGAACAAATTGGACTGTCGATGTTCCGTGAGAGGCGCCACCGGCGCGGTGGGGGTGGACGTCACGGGATGCGACGTCACCCCATGCGACACCGTGTTGGGGGGTCCGGGTAAGTAGACCCCGGCCACACCCACGTGCCAGTTCTTGACGCGCAACGGGTACGGCAATCGCACCTTGAACGAGGCCGGGGTATTGTGGGGAAACTCCGGTTTGCTGGTATTACTCAGCAGCGTGACGTACAGCGATCGACTCGACGGTTCCATCTCGTGTTGTCCTGTCGGGTCAGACCTCTTTTTTTATAGGAACGTCGCCAATTTACGCTTGGACCCGGGGACCCGGCCTACCGTGCTATTCAAACTGGAGCGTTTGGGCCAGACTTTTAAGGTGTGATCGGCCTGGGGAAAGGCTTGCACCAATCGGCGCAAGGTCGTGTCCAAACTGACGCTCTTCCCGCGCTTGACCATCCCTCGTAATTTGGCCCGGAACGCACGCTGAGCCTTCTTGGAGGGTGGCTTCTTCTTCTTGACCCTCTTGACCTTCTTCTTCCTCCGGACCTTCTTCTTCCTCCGGACCTTCTTCCTTTTTCCCTTCTTGGGGCCGTACTTGGTCTCCAACCGTTCCATCATCTCCATCCAGGTCTTTTGGCTGGGCAACGGGGCACTCTGCATACGCCCAAACGGCGCCGCCAACGGTCCCGCCACGGGGGGCGGGCATCAAGGCGACTCGACGACCCGGTGGTTTTTTTCTTGGGTGGGGACCGTAGGGCACCCCGTTTCTTGGCATACTCTTCAGCACGATGGTAGGCATTGGCGTAGGCCCATTGCTCCTTGGTAGGGCTGGCCCACTTGTCCCACCATGGACGACTCATTTTAGGGAGGCCAGACTACGTGTCGGGATCCAACTGTCGTATTTTCGGGGCCAGCCTTTCCAACGCACCTTGACCTCCTGGCGTCGACGCTGTAACACTTTTTCCACGCGAAACAGCGCGTCGTCCGGCACGTCGACCTTTTGCACGTCTTGCTCGTAAAAGGTGCCTTTGACGGGCGTACCGTCCCACTCCTTGATTTTATAGGTAGCCACGGGGCCCGGCACGGCCCGGTCGATGAGAAACACCTCTTCGGTCCACCCGGGCAGATAACCTTTCTCGAACGGACGGTGTTGTTTCTGCAACCGCACGCGATCCCCAGCTTTCCATTTCGGACGCACGCGACGCGCCAGACGTTGGCCGTACAACCGTTGCCAGACCTGGTGTTGGTTGGCCCACGTCACGTCGCGAGGGGCTAGGCCGATACTACGGTGTTTGGTCACGTTGTAGCCCTGCACCAACGCGGGTAACGCGTCCACGTACCGGTACGTGTTGCGAGCGGTAAAGTACCGGTACATGCGTTCTTTCAAGGTGCGATTGAATCGTTCCACCACCGACGCTTTGGTATCCCCGTAGGTCGAGAAATGATGAATCTTGCGACGCGTCATCAGGGCCTGGAACGTGCGGTTGTAAAACTCTTTGCCGGCATCCGTCTGCAATCGCACGGGGTGGCGTCCTCGGGCGCGTTTCAGGAGGCGTTCGAACGCCGCGGCCACCGCCACGCCCGTCTTGCTCTTCAACGGTTCCACCCACGCATATTTGGACAACACATCGATCACCGTCAACAAATAGCGCATCCCCCGATTCCATTGTTTCAACGGTTGCATCTCCACCAGGTCGGCGACCCATTGGTCGTCCATGCCATGCACCACCACCGGTAAGGTCGGGAACCGGCGTCGCCGTGGTTTGTGCAAGGTGTAACTCAACAACCCTTGCAATTTCGCCCGGGCACGCGACACCGGCACGCCGTGCGCTTGCGCCAAACGCGCGACACCCCCCAAACTCCCGCGCAACGAGGGCGTTTCGTAGGCCTCCGCCCAACTCACGCGGCGCTGTTTCTTCCTCATGTCGCACGCGCAATCACGACAAGACACAATCGACTCTCTGTCTTATTTTTTTTATTGGTGTAAACTATCCCGGCGTGGCTGCCACCAGGCAGGGTCCGAGGAGGCCCGGCGGATCTCGTTCAATCGCTCCAGCTCGTCGGCGGTAAACACGCTGCCGCGCCACACTTTGGGTTTCCCCTCCAACCAATGGTCGCGCAATTCTCTCAGGACCCGCGGACTCTCGGGATGATGCCCGTCTTCCCCTTCGTACCGGGCGTACGCCAACAGCAACACTTGACGACGGGCGTCCGGCGTGCTGGCCCCTTGATACTCCTCCCAAGCACCGTGCATCCACGGGCGATACCTCAGTCCCTCCAAAATACCCGGGGAGGTCAGGGTGTTGTAGCCATTGTCGGCCATCATGAACCCCTTGGTCGTCGACCCGTCCACGCCCCGCATTCGGGCGGCCAAGCCCTCTCGTTTGGCCCTGGGGAGAGGGCTGTGACTCCAGTCTTCGCCACGGACGCGACGACGCATCTTGCCCGACAACGGCAGGTTCAACCACAGGAAACAGCGACAGTGTCCGTCGCGACAGGCCAGGTACATGCGCTGAGGGTTCTTCTCCGACCCGCTCTTGCGCAGCGATAACCGTCGATCGCAAAAACACGTCAGGTCATCCCATCGTTGACGCAATTCCTCGTGCAACTGTTGGGTCACCAGGGCCATCCATTCGTCCACGCGGTCTTGGGGACTGAACACGGGACACGTGTCGCGCGGGCAGTACACATAGACAAACTCGTCCTTACGACCCTCGGCCAAGGCCTCCTCAGGATGCAACGGGCACATCCACACCCCGGGTCGGTCCACGGGCGCGTACGGGACGGGCTCCGTCTGCGTGGCCTGATCCATCTCGTTCAAGAACCAGGCGGCCAACTCGCCTTCCTCCAAGACCTCCGTCTTGTCTTCCAACGCCTCGTCCGCTCGACGTTTCTGGCCTTTGACACGACCGGCCGGAACGGGCGCCGGACGCGTGGGGTGTCTCGTACAAGCGGCCATAATGAAAAGTGGCCGCGGTGACCGCCCCGCGCCGTTTTATACGCCCGGTCGATCACGTGTCCCCATGACGTCCCCCTTGCCTTATAAGGGCCCAAGTGCCCGTGAGTGGTCAGGTCGGGCTCCGCCCCCCACGTGCTCACCCCGTGCTCTATAAATAACCTCTCTTTTCCCGTGTGCCCGGCCAGTCATGCAAAAAGGTCCCGTGTCACGACCAGCCAGGCGACGGAGGAGAAAACGTCGTTCGCTCGGCACCATGCCCAACCTGCAAGACTACACGGTCTACACCCCCGACAACCAAATCGCCGACTTGGCCGACCACCAGGGCATGACCGTTCACCTCCTCGAGGGTCCGACCCAGCACGTGCTCCGTGACGCGCATACCGTCTACCTTTTTGGGTCGTACACCCCTCTACGCGACATGGACGAGACCGGCCGCGTGACCGAGCTCGCCTCGTCTTTGGGCAAAGCGTTGTTGCTGTGTGACGTCACCACCGGGCAATGGTATAAACGGGCCCCCAGCGACCAGACTTTCACTCCGCTCTCGGCCTCGACCTTTCCGGTGCTTCATCCACGCAGTGCCGTCTTGGGCCTCCGTTCCCTGCCGCTGCCTCACCTGCAACTCACCTCGCTCTTCCAACGCACTCGAGACACGCTGTCCTCATGAATGCCGAGTACCATCGACGTCTACGCCTCGACGACTATCGCACCTTGGACGAGTATCTCCGCGAACGCATCCGACGAGGGTTGCAAGCGCATCACGATCACACCGAGATGCTCCTTCACCTGCAAGATCAATACCGAGAGGCGTACAAACGTTACGTGCAAGAACTCGCGCAACGCGATCGACCCGAGCGATAATAAAATGGGTGTTTTTAATCTGAGGGTTGATCATTGACTTTTGCAAACGTGGGCGGGACCCCAAAGGGGGTCCCTGATAAACATTAAAGGGTTGCGTGGGTTTAAGTCTTGGGGTGGCGGCGAGGGCGGAGTCTCTTCAACCAGTCGCGTTGAGCCCACACGTTGGCCACACGCCGCATCTTTTTTCGGTAGGCCCGCTGTTCCCGCTGGTACTCCCGCTCTTCCTCTTCGTCTTCATCCCCACACTCGTGCCCCTCCCCGCAATAGTGGCAGTACACAAAAGGCCACTCGACTGCCTGGTTGGGGCGAATGTAATCGTCTTCCCCAAACGTTTGTCGGAACCAGCGATAGAACCGGGCGTCACCGTCTCGGGCAAACATCGTCCGCATCAGGCGCCGGTAAAAATACCCCGTCACGGGACGCAACAGGTTGCCATGGCGAGGCACAGAAAACCCCTTGAGGCTGATGATGCGCTTGCGTTTGGGGCACCGGGGTAAATAACGCATCTCCTGGCGCACTTGCCACCACCCACTCGCATCGCGTACCTCCACCGTGGCCAATCGATACAGTCTCGCGATGATCCATAATACATCGTCCGGTAACACCGGCAAATCGTCGGGTACACCATCCTCGTCGGGACCAGACATGTCAACATACTCAGGCAGCCCAAACGGTGCCACAGAGTCCGCCATCTTTGTTCAAAAGACTCACTGCAGACAACCTGAGTCGGAACCGGTCCCACCTCTTATACGCTAGGTCACGTGCCTTCCCATCCTCCCCGTTCGACCCCTCCTCGAAAAAAAGAGGGGGGATGGGGGGGTATCCCCCCCTCCTTAGAGACCCTTCCCAGAGGGGCTTGGCGCGCCCCTCTGAGAGGTCCATATAAGAGACCCTCCCATCGACCCTGCACCTCGATGCTGACCATGCTGTTGATCGCACCCATCACCGTATTCTCGTTGACCTTCGTGTGGGTCGCTCTCGTGCTGCACACCCAAGTTCCCGATCATGGCACCCATGGCGTTCAATCGAGACTACCTGGACGACTACTTGGACACGTTATGGGAACTGAGAGAAAACATTTCCATGGACCTAGACTGGGGCTACGAATGCCGTCTGAACCGCATGTGCCAGCAAGTGAGGCGCCAGTTGATCGACCCCCACGTGGCAGACAAACAGCGACGATCGTGCGAATTCGCCTACACCACCTGTGTCCAAAATCTAGAGACGTGCCGGGAAAACCTGAAAGGCCTCAGAGATACTGTACGGTACTTGTTCGAACAGTCACCCGAAGACCATCCCAGTACCCACGCCCACTACCAAGATATCCTCTACAGCATCGAGAACCAAGAAAAGGGACTCCTCCACATCCAAGCCGTGTACCGAAGTCACCTGTGAACGCTCTGAAGATCAGAGTCGACTAGGGACGCCCCACACCACT